AGGGGATACAGTCTCTGTTCAGTTGGCTATGAAGGTGTTCAATGAATTCTCTACTGCTACTGGTTTAGTAGTAAACCCCTAGAAGTGCAATATTTACTTTGGAAATATTGATGAAGAAAAAAAGTCTGAGATCCTTAACATAACAGGTTTTAGTGAGAGAAATCTTCTATTTAGACACCTGGGAATTCCCTTATCTAGTAAGAAGTTAAATGTGGCTCAGTGTAACATTCTTGTGGAAAATATTGTTGCTCTTATCAAACATTGGACATTTCATTTTCTCAGTTTTGCAGGAAGAATGTGTAACACCTTTCTAAATTCCGCAGAATATATAAATAATCAGAGTAAATTATCATGCATCTCAAATAAGGGTGTCACATATAATTAAAAAAATTACACATATACTTGTCATGCTCAATAACACTTAAAATAAATCCATGTTTTTCATATACTTTCACATAACATGTAGCAGCAGAATTACTTCAATCATAAATTAACATAATGAAAACCCCATGATCAACTCATTCATAATCATCACTTAGGCATAAAAGTCGATACTCCACATAATTCAAATAAAAATATCAAAATAAAGTAGAGTATATAAAGTATCTCTCAAAATATGAATAGAAACGTTCCCATTGTTACATGATCAGAGCACGACTCAATCCAAAATAAATAGATAAACTAAAACAAGCTACTCCAACAGCTACCTTGCGCTAGAAGCAGCACTACTTCTCAGCATCTGAGCGATGTCGTATAAAACATCATTCCAACAGAAGGGTGAGAATTTACATAATTACCGAAATCATAAGATAATATATAATTTATGGCATACAAACATAACATAATTATTCTCACACTCGAAAAGCTTCATCAACATATCATCACTCAAATGATCATACTATTCACAAGTACATACTCATAATTCCATAATTCGTCAATTCATCAATTTCACATATTTTGGATAATCTCATATTACAAACATATACATGACGTGACTCAGTGTAAGACTCTAATGCAACTCATGCATGTGGTATCAATCAGTTGTTATTATTTTTTTATTTTTACATTAAATTGAGTCCGTTCCCTAGACCAATAACACACAAAAAACTTATTTCCTAAGCTTTCAAACCCCGCTCTAGGGTTAAAACAAGTTACTAGTTCCCACAAAACTAATAAGCATTGTCTCTTGACAACAAATGATGCATGTGCAAGTTTAACCAACATATTCAATTAAGACCATTCTCTAATCTTAACATCCATGCATATCTTCAATAATTTATTATAATTGAATTACCATACAATTACACATACTTGCACATTTTTATGAATCATCCGCACACAATTCACTTTCAAATGGTATACAACATATTTTACAATACAATCACAACTGTATTATCATTACAAAAAGAAATAACTATTATGAATTTCATGTTGTCACACCTAAAATAAACTTATACAAGCACCAACACAAGTATTCAATAAATTATCCACAAATAATTTCACAACCGGCAGCAAACAGTACAAGAATTCATTAATAGAACATATACACAATCGACTTCCCAAACATATTAGATATAAAAGTACTAGGAAACTAATTCTCTTATCTGTACTATGTTATAGCTTTATTCATTAGCTTTCTGACGCTTCGAACAGGGACCAAAACGGACTTACAGACCAAAAGTTATGACCAAAACGATTTCGACCGAAAACATGAACATAGTGACGAACAACATGCAGAATTTTCTGCGTTTTTCACTGTTAGAGGCCTTCCGGACCTCCAATTTCGATTCCGTAAAAACTCAAACTCACGGAAAATTACAACCCATCCAATATTGTAATATCTCAAGTAAAATTATAATTTTAACACACTTAAACGATCTAATCGTTTTTTTAAGATTATGCCTAAATTTTTTGAAACTGGTGGATATAGGTTCAATCCTCTCAAAAAGAAAAAGAATACGCACATATAAGGCATACAAATTCATCATATAATTATCCTATAATAACCATCATGAAAATTAGGAATTTTTATCCTAAATATGGTACTAACCATCATACACTATCATACAATTCCATAACCATGTAAAGACCCACCCTTACCTTGATTCCTTGGATTCTAGAGCTCTTGTTCTTTGGATTTTCTCCTCCTTTTTTCCACTTCTTTCTTTGTCTGTTTTCATATTTTCTATCTTTCTAACACTATTCTCTCTTTCTCTTATTTTATCAAATCCCATAATTTCTCATTATTCTAATGGGCTTACTTAACTCACTCTCCCACTTATTATTCACACTCTCAATCTAGGCCCAATTACTCATTTCTACCATTTTCACATATTATTCCATCAAATAAAATAAATCAATTAATTGAATTAAATCAAATAAATCTATTATTCCCAAAATTACTCAATTAATTAGTTAATATAATATAAATAAATAAATAATTACTAAAATTGGGGTGTTACAGGATGCAACTGATAAAAAGTATTGTTTTTGCTGTGACATACTTCTGGTTGTAGGTTATTCCCCTTCCTAAAAAAAGTGATTAAACAAGTGGAAGCTATCTGTCATTCATTCTTTTGGTCAGGCAATGGTGAGATCAACAAAAACAAAAAGAACAACAATAAGAACAATAACAAGAACAATAAAAATAAGAACAACAACAACAATAATAATAACAAAAACAACGAGAAGAACAAGAAGAACAATAACAAGAACAATAAAAATAAGAACAACAACAATAATAATAACAAAAACAACGAGAAGAACAAGAAGAACAAGAAGAAGAATAACAACAACAATAACAACAACAAGAACATCAACAAAAACAACAACAAGAACAACAATAATAACAAGAACAACAACAACGACAACAATAACAAAAAACAACAATAACAAGAACAAGAACAACAATGATAACAACAAGAACAACGACAACAACAATAACCAAAAAAAGAACAACAAGAACAATAACAACTAACATTGCTAAATTGAATCCATACTTTCCTTGTCTCATTCATGTTGGATAAGAGATGATGAAGTTCTGAAATTTATTAAAGAAAGAAATTATGTTTTCGAGTATTGTTTATGGAAGAAATGATATTTTCGAACTTGGTTTAATGGAGAAATAGAATGTTGTAAATGAAAGATGACGTTTGAAGGTAGAAAATGAAGTTCATCTAAGTTGGAAGTTCGTCTAAGTTTTAGGTTTCACGCGGATCACTAATTGTAGGTTCTTGAACGTTGATACTCACTAAGTGGACGGTAAAGATTTGTTTAAGGACGATGAAGAAACTCAATAAATACACTTATATTTCCCCATGACCCTGAGTGACTTTTAAACACGCTACATACAACAACGGTTGTATTAAACAACTGTTGTTGTATGTATTTTAATAAAATATTAAAAAAATGCAGCAGTAAAACAACAATAACAAAAAAATTCGAACTCATAAACATGCGCTTCATACAATAACAATTGTATTAAACAACTGTTGTTGTATGTATTTTAATAAAATATAAAAAATACAGAAGTAGAACAACAATGACAACAAAATTCGAATTATGACCATACGCCATTTTTTACCACGGTTGAAACTTTCAACCGTGGTGAAGAGTGGCTTAAAATGAAAAAAAATGCCTAATTGAATAAATTTTATCACGGTGGATCCTTGGGACGTGGTAACGTGGGTGTTGTGGTATATCCTTTTTGTAGTAGTGCACAATCGAAACCAAATGATTTGAAAAAAATCTTCATGTGTTATTAGTGATGATTATGAACTAATATACGATGACCTTCGTGATACTCCTAATGTTGGCGATGTACATGCAATCACTCTGACAATTAAGTGAATAATGATCCTAAGTGAGAGTTTAAGGTTTAAAATAATGTGTACCTAAGACCAAATTGTTCTTTAGTCTTTATAGTATGTTTCTAGGTTTATAGGCCATGAAATTTTCTTTTAGACAAACTTGTCTCAAGGGAAAGATGCCCAATAGATCGTGAGACCTTTTGTATTTGATGGTTTATAATAGTTTGTGAGTCTTAGTACACTTCTAGTACGAATGTATCATCTAGTACTCTCTTTATCACATAACTTCGAATTATTCAATTTTTAAGGGAAGGGTCTCGGCCTAGACTCAAACAAAGACAAAATGTGATGACGGAAAATATTATAGAAAGTTAAAATGAACTAAATTTTTGGTTGGGAGTATATATATATTTTTTTAAAGAATATATAAACACTTAAAACATGTTGTTTAAATTGAATAACATTTGGCACAACTATAAACACTAATATCTAGAATATTATAAAATCTAAATAGATGAAAAATTCTCTTATAGAGTTTTAATTATGTTTTATATCCAAACTTGAAGTTCATATTAATTCATCTCACCTAAGCATTTTTAAGGGTGTGTTCGATTCGTGGTAAATGGTATAGAGGGGAGGGGAGGAGAGGGAATATTACTTATCAAATATAATTGATTCAAATTTTAAGAGGGGAACAAAACCCATCCAAAACACTTTCTTTGCGCCTCCCTACATTGAAAGAGTTTTGGAGGGGAGAGGAGGGAATGTGAAGTTTGATAATTAAAAAATTATTATATTTATTAAAATATTTTCAATTTTATTTTAATATTTTAAAATTATTTATTTTCTTTTGTGTTACTATTTCTCTTTTGTGTGACTTTTTTCTATTACTTGTATCAAGTTATTATAATTATTCTCTTCTTTTAAATTATTTTTCATATGTTTGTATTTAATATAAATTATAATTACAGAGATTTCAGGATTCAAACTTGAAATTTGAGAGAATCATACTTTCAAGATCCAAGCCTCTACCACTAAACTAACCATTAGGAGTTTAAAAATTGAAATATATAACATCGAGAAGTAGAAAAAAATAATAATAAAGACCTTGTACCAAATGGTACTCTCTATATATATAGCTTCGTAACATAAACGCACCGATAATTATCTATAACATAGGCCAAAAAAATAATGGCTTTGTTTGGCGTTGTAGAAATTCTTTTGGCGATTATTCTTTTCACTGCAATCCATTACTGGAAGCTAAACATAAACGCACCGATAACAAAGTGGCCTGTGATGGGAATGCTACCTGGTCTCTTATACAACATATCCAATATCCATGATTACATAAACTCAATTCTAAAACAGAATGGAGGAACTTTCATTTTTGAAGGACCGTGGCTAACAAACATGAACATCGTTTTCACTTGCGATCCCATGAACGTGCAGCACATTACAAGCACAAAGTTTGAAAACTATGGCAAAGGAAATGATTTCAGAGAGATCTTTGAGGTTCTTGGAGATGGAATTTTCCGGTCTGACTCTCACATTTGGAAGTACAACAGAACCCTACTTCATTCAATTTTCAAGCAAGAAAGCTTTCAGGTATTTATTCAAAAAACTATTGAGAAAAAAGTTTATAGTCATCTTCTTGTGTTTCTTGATCATGCTTGTAAAAAAGGGGTGCAAGTGGATTTGCAAGATGTTTTTCAAAGGTTAACTTTTGATAATATATGTTGTATAGTTTTAGGGTTTGATCCTATTTGTCTTTCTATTGATCTCCCTGAAATTGCATTCGAGAGAGCCTTTAGTCAAGCAGAAGACACATTGTTCCATAGACATTTTAGACCAAAATTCTGGTGGAAGTTGCAGAAATGGCTTCGAGTTGGTGAAGAGAAAAAGTTTATTGAGTATCAAAAAATCCTTGATGAAATGTTATATTCAGAAATCAAATCCAAAAGAGATATTCAAAATCAATACCAACAAAAACCTAATTTGCTAAATACCATTATGAATGAAGTGAAAGATGGAGAAAATCTAATAGATGACAAGTTTCTGAGAGACACAGCAATTAATCTTCTTGCAGCTGGAAGAGACACTATCAGTTCTGGTCTTACTTGGTTTTTCTGGTTGGTAGCAACACACCCTTTTGTTGAAGCTAAGATTCTTGATGAGATCAAAGAAAAACTACCATCAAAAGAAGATAATAACAAGAAAGATTTAGGAGTGGAAGGGCTTAGCAAGCTAGTTTATCTACATGGAGCTTTATGTGAAGCCTTAAGGCTTTATCCGCCGGTTCCTTTGGAGCACAAATCTCCATTGAAATCTGATGTGCTTCCTAGTGGACTTAAGGTTAAGGAAAATACAATGATAATGTATTCTTTATATTCAGTTGGAAGGGTGGAAGAAATATGGGGAGAAGATTGTTTGGAATTCAAGCCAGAGAGGTGGATTTCTAACAAAGGAGGGATAGTTCATGTACCTTCTTACAAGTTCATTGCTTTCAATGCCGGACCAAGGAGTTGTTTGGGTAAGAGTATAAGTTTCATTGAGATGAAAATGGTTGCTGTAGCAATATTGATGAATTATCATGTTCAAGTGGTGGAAGATCATCCAATAATCCCAAGTGTTTCTGTTGTTTTACATATGAAACATGGATTGAAAGTTAATATTAAGAAAAGATCCATTTGAGGATTATAAGGGATGTCTTTTGAGAATAACTGAACTTTGTTCAGATGTTATATGTAATGTTTTCTTTAAATTTGAACTATGTGGTAATGTTTGTTTGCTTAATTAATTCTAGAGAATAAGTTTATTATCAGTGTTGCTTTTGAATGTATTTGTGAATTTGAATAATGTTCATGAATATTCTATGGTTATTTGTTAGCTGGTTTTCTATTTTAGTTTTTATTGGTTATTCATTTTGCATGTCGAACATAATCTAGTGTCTCTGGTTTCCTCTCTTAAATTTAATACTGCATTTATTAGAATTGTGATTCTTGTGACATATTAAAAGCACACTATGGTGTTTCGGAATCATTATTATTATCATCGGGTGCTTGTGTTCTGACTTTGGGACCCTTCCTGTGTCATAATATAGGGTGCTGAGGCTGTTTGGAGTGAACGTGAAATGCCATCCTAATAATAATATTAATGATTCCAAAACAAAAGAGTGTTCTTTTAATATGTCAAAGGACTACACGTCTAATAAATGCGAATTTTTTTTAATATAATTATGTTATTCAATAAAAATATTAATAAATCAAAATTTTAAATAAAATTTAAACTGACTATGTATTAACGTTCGGTTGTCAATTGATGTGGCGAATGCACCCCCTTTTTGGACCATGTCGCCAAACGAAATGGCGAGTTGGGCCAAACTATTTTTTTTTCATTTTCGCCAAATGAATTGGCGACAGGGCCCATTTAATTTTTTTTTTCTTTTTAGAGTCTACGTTTCATGTTTTAGTTTATGTTTATTTTTTAAAAATTAATTTCAATTATGTTTTTATAAAAAAAATATTAAATTATGTTTTAATAATTAATTTTTATTTAAAAAAATGGAATAAATATTAAATTATGTTTTTTTTCATAATTAATTAGTATGTAAATATTGAAAAAATATATTAATTTATGTTTTTTATTTTTCATAATTAATTGAATTCTAAATAATGTTTAAAAAAATGGAATAAATATTAAATTATGTTTTTTGTTTTTCATAATTAATTAAAATGTAAATAATGAAAAAAAAAAGAAATGGAATAAATATTAAATTATAGTTTATATTTTTCATAATTAATTAAAATTTAAATAACCTTAAAAAATATAGAAATGTAATAAATATTAAAATATATTAATTTACAATAGAATGAAAATTACAATTGAACAAAAAAAAACTAATGGTCAGCTCTATCCAAGCGATGACCGGTGCCACATTGTGGAGGATACGCGTTGCGACGAGGTCTACGACGAGGTTGATGTGGTGTGTCCGGTCTTTGTGTGTTGAGTTGTGGAGGATGATTTTGTTGGGAAGGCCCCGGCGTATTAGATGAATTTTGAAGCATTTGACCCCAATAGTCGGGAGGTCCACTATCAACGGCGCTTCCGTAGTTAAGCCCAACGCTCATGTTTTCGTAGGATTGTCGGGGAGGTTGGGTGGAGTATGGACGGTATGGTTGTCTGAATTCATACATCGAATTGGGTTGGAATTTGTGTGTTGGTTGTTGTAGGGTTTGGTAGTCAAATAGTGGATAGTTGGAGGGGGTAGGGTCAAATGAATTATCTGGGCTATAGGTGGAGGGGGTAGGGTCAAAAGACGTATCAGGGCTATATTGGTATGGTGGTTGATGTTGTGGCTGGGTGGGTGGCATGTACGGGTCATGGTAAGAATGTTGTTGTTGATGTTGGGCATTTAATGGCATGTATGGGTTATGGTAAGGCTGATGTTGGGCATTGGACTGTTGTTGTGTGTTTGATGAAGAAGCGTGTTGCCTTGGGTCAATCAAATAGGTTGGCTCAGACAGAATTGGATGAGATGTTGTAACCGACCTAAACCAAGTCATATATTGATAAATTGGCCTAGCCCCTTCCGCAATTTGGTCGGTTAAGATATGTTGCCTTCTGTTCTTCCAATGTTGACACGTCTCCTTCACAAACTCCTTCCAATGACTGACACTCCACTGTGAGTCCACCCGTTGCTGATGCCACTGCCCCAATGATGTCGGAGCATCTGGAATATCCTGATGCATCCCAAATTGTAGCTTCACCCGGTCACTTTGGTGCATCTCCACCGTAGTGAACCTAATGATGGGTATTTTTGATGTCCATACAGCAGCATCATTGGAGTCGGGCTGGTGGTCGAGACCCTCGTACGACATCCAAACAAACTACAATAAAGGTATATACATTTAGTTAGACAAAGATAGACAAGTTTATGCATATAAGTTAGACAAAGTAAAGGTAGATAACTTACATCATCTGGCCCAATGTGGTCGATGAGGTTCTAGTACACAATTATGGAGTTCCTGGGACATCTCTGATAATTCATCCCTAGAACAGACCACCTACAAAAAAGAAACACAGATAAGTTAGCATCTAAAACACATCTCACAAATTATTAACTTACAAAGAAACTTTGGTTGCTAAATAGTCTTAAAAAGAAACTTACTTGTTGGCGTATGGGAATGTAAACGGATTCCGGTTTACTGGAGCAAGCGTTGGCATCCTAGACCAACCCCACGCTTGAAGGAGATATGCGCGGTCATAAAAAGTACATGAATTCTTTTTGGAATTTTTACACAGTGCAGTATATAGATGGGCGAGGACAGTTGATCCCCAACTATATTCGCACACTTTGTTTATGTTTTGTAGCAATGGTAAATACATGATATTTATGGTATTTCCAATGCCCTCTGGAAATAAAAAAAAATGACCAAACATCATAATATAGCACCGAGTTTTGAGTATTTTCTCATAGTCGGTGTTATCCTCACTTAAGACAATACTGTTGTATTGTTGTCTGAGGTATTTAAGATTTATTCCCTGACCCTTTGGGCGACCCTCGCGTTCTACCTCAATTGCGTCCACACAAAGAGGGGCACCCAATAAATCTTCACAAAGTTGGTCGTTAACACCAACTTTGTCGTTGACGGCCTTACCATTGATGTGTAGGCCGAGCAACATGTAGACATCTTGAAGAGTCACAGTGTACTCACTGAAAGGTAGGTGAAATGTATGTGTCTCTGGTCTCCAGCGTTCTAACAACGCTAGAATGAACTTCGCATCAAGTGAGTATGATTTGATTTTAATCAAATCACCAAACCCACAATGTTCAAGGTATCCCTCTATGAGGGGGTCGTGTGGTATGTAATCATGCACACGACATCGAAACCTTGATGCATCCTTCAAAATAAATAATATTTCGTTAGTTTTATAGAACAACTAAAGATCGTAAACATAGACAAAAACTAAAAACTTATAAACTCATCGATGTTCTCAATCGTGCCTCTGTGAGAGTTGCCCATTGTGAGTAGAGACATTGTGGTTTACGAATTTACTGGGTGAGTAGAGTTTGAGATTTTGAGACTTTGAGAGTTTGAGACTTTGAGACTTTGAGAGTTTGAGAGTTTGAGAGTTTGAGAGTTTGATAGTTTGAGAGTTTGAGAATTTGAGAGTTTGAGAGTTTGAGTGTGAGCAGATTTTGCTGGGTAAAGAACCTCTATTTATAATCCACGAATGCATGTGACCTGTAGTTGCATGCAGAGCAAGTGATGCATGTGACTTGGAGGTGCATGCAGAGCAAGTGTCTTGATGCATGTGACTTGTAAATGCATGCAGGGCAAGTGTCTTGATGCATGTGACTTGTAAATGCATCTAGGGCAAGTGTCTTAATGCATTTGAGGCGTGCAGGTTTAGTCTTGTCTTGGAAGTGCATGTTATGGTGTTGTCATGCATGCAGAGTGTCGTTAGGCATGCAGAGGACATGCATTAAGGGAGGCATGCAAACTTGTCATGTCATGCATACAACGTACAAACTTGTCATATCAAAGCAAAAGTTTTAAGTTTACTCGTTATTAGGGCAAATAAACGCAGTTGCGTCTTCTATTAAAACTTACTCGTTATTAGGTTTAATATATTTTTAATTAGTAAGAATGTAATAATAATAGTGGCTTAATAAATGTAAACATAATATTTTTAGCGTCAAACATAATATTACAAGTAACGCAACAGCAAATATATTCAACATTTAATTTCAAAAATGCATTATATGGTGTTCAGGATGTTATTGTAGCCATGTGACATACATTTATTAGTAAGAGTGTCGTAGGCCTGCATAGAATTGATAGGCATGCAGGGAATCAGTTACTGTAGACAAAGCGCAACTGGTAACCAATGTGTTGTCTTATCAAGCATGTTGCATGCAGAGTAAGAATCTCGTAGGCCTGCAGGGTCATTGTAGGCATGCAGGGAATCAGTTCACTGTGGCGCGCAAAGTGTTGTCTTATCATGCAACTCACATGTGGCGCGCAGAGTGTTGTCTTGTCATGCAGCTCACTAAATTGTTATTAATACAGTAGAGAGATCTGTAGTATTACCATATCAATTAGTAAAACAGTCTTTTCAAACACAATTTTCGCTATGTCTCAAACACCACAATATATGATTTCTGCACATCTTAACGGTGAAGTTTTTGAATGTGAAATAGCGGGCTACAATTTCAAAAACACTGATGTTACGAGATTTTTAATTGACAGAAGGTCTAATTTTTTACAGTTGATGTCAAGAATAGAAAAAAAACTGCAATGTGGTCTAGTTGGCCAAATAATATACAAAAATCCAGTGTTTTTTGGCGGGCATGGTGAATGCAAATTTTTCCCGTTAAAGGTTTGAGACGATGAAGATGTGCGTAACATGTTCCGCAGTCACGAGTATTATGGTTTCACAGATATCGTGTTACATGTTACGTTACAACAACAACAACAACTGTCTCAACAACTTGATTCTTCTCAAGTTTTTTGCGAATCTGATGAGGAACACGTTGAAGTCGATGTCATTGACGAAGAAGAAGAAGCAGCTGAAGTCACTATTGGCGAGATGGTGAACAACGAGGAAGAAGGGGTTTCACTCTGCCATGTTTATTGCCCACCTCAGCCCAGCCCACACTTGTATAATCTCGAATCCAATACAAGGCC